CCCACAGCACGGCCAGTGCCCTTGATTCACACGCTCAGGGGAGCGCATGCAAGCGCCATCTCCAGCATTCGCTTTTTGCCCGGCAACCCTTTGCTCATTACAACTGGATCTGACAATGCCATTCGTCAGTGGTTCTTTGAGCCCTTGACTGGCCCTGGCGTCGTCAAGATTCCAGGCCAAGCTGTGCCCACTTCTCCCATCCCCAGGTTGCTAAAATCCAGAGAGGGCCATTTCAAACCTCCCCACCTGATCAAATTTTACGGCGAGGAAGGCAGGGACATACTGAGCGCTGCAGAGGACAGAAGTGTTAGGCTCGTCAGCGTGGTCAGAGACTCGAGGAGTGCCGAGCTCAGTCAAGGTGCGTAAAAAGGCCGGCGCCACCAGGTGTTAGCGTAGGCATTGAAGGCTTACTGTTGCGACACCAATGCATTCCTCTCAAGGTCCGCTGCTCTCGCGTGCTGCCCAGCTCTCTGTCGCGCCACATACTCTCAAGCTGTCCCGCACATCGTCGCTCGCCTTTAGCACCACGAGGGCTCGGGACTGGGACAATGTCCTCTCTGTTCACGCCGGCAGTAAAACTGCGCACCGATGGTCGACGCTGAACAGGCGTCTGAATAACCGCGCTTTCTCTTCCCAGTCCACTACAGACACGACCTGCTGTGCGGTGTCCGTGTGCGGCAACTTTGGATTCGTCGGCGACTCGAATGGCTTCGTTAGAGCATTCAACATGCAGAGCGGGGTGCTCAGGAGAAGCTACGAGGACGCTTCTCCTGCTCGCAATCACACTCGTGTCCGGCCTACGCAAAATGCGACAGAACGATCGCCGGTCACAGGCATCATCAGCGATGCGGTGAATAGCATCGTCGCAGTTGCCAAGCTGAACGGCACGCTGTCAGTGAGTGTCCAGCGGGAAAGAAAGTCTTGCGCAATTCCGTTTCCCCACGCTAAAAGTGCTCCTCCTGCAGATTTACGACTTTCACACCACCGAGAGACTGAGCCACCTGAACCTGGGCAGTGCCATCGCTTCGATGAAAATGGACCGCACCACGGGCCTCGTAGCCACCTCGCACGATGACTTGTCCATCAGATTGCTCGATCTTTCGACTCGCAAAGTGGTCAGACATTTTACGTCATTCAAAGGCCGCATCTTGGACATGGACATTTCCACGGACGGGAGATGGCTGATAGTCTCTAGTCTGGATGGACTGGTGCGCACTTTTGACATTCCTTCTGCTCGCTTGGTAGACGCTTTCAGACCCGAAAAGGTCGTGACCAGCTTAAGCTTCAGTCCTACTGGAGAATTCCTCGCAACTTCTCACGTCGGTCAACTGGGCATCTATCTCTGGAGCAACAGGACGCTGTTCACCAATGTGGCTGTAAAGGCGCTTGACGAGGAAGATGTCTGGAAGGACTTCGAAGACGACGCTGGACAAGGCGG